CCCTGGGGAGAGGGCAAAGTATTTCCTCGGGCGGGAGCTGCCGCAGCGGGGTCTACGGCAGCGGCGGCGTTGGACGTTGCGGTGTGGCTTACGGTGGAGGCCGCTTTGGCATAGGCACAGTCGTGGGGTTTGGTAACTGCGGAAGCTACGGGGGCCTGGGCAGCTACAGAGGTCTCGGGGACGGGATGGCTATCGGAGGCTATGGCAACGGCATTGGCATCGGCCTCGGAGGAGGAAGATCTGAAGGGATTCGGGGTGTCAGCATCCACCCAGAGCTCCTCAAGCCCCTCTGCGTGGGGGTCGACCCTGAAGAGTGCCAAGTGCGGACCCACGAGAAAGAGCAGATCAAGAACCTCAACAACCAGTTCGCCTGCTTCATCGACAAGGTGAGGCCCTGCTCCCCTCCATGCAGGCTTTGGTGCCGGTCCCTAGACTCGGATGGGTGGGCTGTCTTGAGAGAGACAATGCCGGTAGCTGTTTCTCCCGGCACCCTGGTACTGTAAATGTTTCTGACAGACCACAGTGGTCTGACCTGGAGACTGGATTTAAGCCTTGCACCAAGGCAACCGCACCCATATTTTACCTTTTGATGGTCACCAGTCTGCTAAATAGCTAAATCAGGAGCAGCTCCAGGTATATGGTAAATCAAAACCTGTGAGAGAAGGAATGGAGACATGGAAATATAAAAAGGCAAAATAGGAAGCTTTATTACAAATGTGTAATCTGACATTGCTATCACACCTCTATCAACTCCAAAGGACTTTTTGCAAGTGTAAAATAGTTTGTGAGCTTCATCAAGGAGATGTAGGAAGATAGATGTCTAGATAAAATGAGATGAATAATTTTGACTTCTTTGTCCCTCCCCTCTGTGAACGAAGTGATCTGGTGATTTCGTAAACAGACATAATTTATCAGTTTCCTTCGCTAAGCCTAAGGGTTTTAATTATTGCTTAGAGATGTGTTGTAGGAAATGATTTCTCAAATGGCAGAGAAACCTTTGTTCTGTGTGATCTTCATCTTTCTTGTGAGTTGTTCTGCAGGTGGAAAAACCAAACCCACGTAAGAGGAGCAACTCTGCTTCCTTCCATTTGAAAAATGACTTATTCATGACCCATAAAGGTTCTCAAGTACTAGAGAGCTCTTTAATCTTGAAGTGAAAGGCATGATAAGTATCGGTGGTTAGAGTTTAAATCAGATACATCCAAATGAGGCCCTGGATGGTGCTTGTAGTGCCACAAAAGGCTCGTTCCTATACCCAGCCCATCGGGAGGCAGGGGATCCTCCATCAGCCATCCGTCACTGAGGGAGAGGTGGTGCTTGGCTGAACTGCCATTTGGTCAAACAGCTGATTGGCCTCGACACACAACAACGTTCAGCCTGTGATACCAGTCCCGGCTGGCACCAGAGAGGATGCTGGTCTCACTCAGGCTGCTGAGAAATCAGCACTTAACCACTGGTATTTCTGTTTTGGGTTTTTTTTTTACTGTTTATTTTTGGGAGTGGAGAAACCTGAAGTGCCTTTGCCAAGGACAGGAGGGGGGTGCGTGACTCTTGCATCTCTTGCTTCTCCAGGTACGGCTGCTGGAGCAGCAGAACAAGGTGCTGACCACCAAGTGGGAGCTGCTGCAGCAGTATGTCCTCCCAGCTTCCAGGAGGAACCTGGAGCCCGTTTTCGAGAACTTCATCTGCAACCTGAGGAAGCAGCTGGAGTGTGTGCTGGGGGAGCGGGAAAGGCTGGAAAATGAGGAGCGGTGCCTCAGGGACCTGGTTCAAGAGTACAAGTGCAAGTAAGTAGTACACAGAGACACACCGCAGACTGGGATGCTTCTAAATGGTGAGGGATGGGTCTAAAAACTGCGTCCCAGGGAGGGGAGCAGGGCAGGGCACACCAGTAATGGGCTGGTTTCCTGTACTGGGGTCCAGCTGCTGCACCTCATATGCTGGTGATGGACTGGGAGAGCTCTTCAACGATAGTGTTTCCTTAGGGAGAGGGACAGGGAACCTCTTTTCCTCTCCCTCATGCTCCTGCACACTACTGTGGTTTGCCATATCAGATCTCCCACATCATCTGTGCCTGTGGCTCCCCCAGATCTCATGTCCCTGGTGCCATCCGTTCCCACAAAACCCTCAGCCTATTTGTCTCCACCCCACTCTTTATCCACACTGTATCCATTGGGGTTCATTCTGTCTTTCCAGAGGGAATGTGGGAATTGTTTTTTTTTTTAATCTAAGCTGCAGGTATTCCTTAATATCTCCCTGCGTGCTCTGCTAAGCCACAGGTCAGGACACTTGGTGGTTGGTGGTACACGGCACAGGATAAATGAGTAATGCTTTCTCCAGAGACCTTATCGTAAAGTATCTCAGGTGTTTTTTCTTGCTAAGTCACCACGAAGGAGGTCAGACTCATCTTGTGAAAGTTCTCTAGGTCCCAATTACTTGGTCGTTATGCACTGGCTTTCCTTCCCCTTGCATCTGGGAGTTTCAAAGGTTGCTCAAGCTACTGAGCTCCCTTGGGGCGTTTTGGCCACAGTCTCCCCACAAACACTCAGAGCAGAGTCCTGGACACTTCAGAAAAACATCACACTGAACAGCAGGCTTAGAAGAAGCAAACAAAGCCTTCAACTGAGAGACAGGGTTTTGCATTTCTAGTGGTTTGGCCTGATTTACTGCTGTCTCACTCCAGACCGATACTGGCAGTGCAGACTGTTCAAAAGTGCTGAACAACACCCAGTGGGGATGAAAGAATAGCAACAAAGCAAAAATCAAAAAGCAGGTACAACGTGAATAAGGAGAGGCTCTGGTTTTAATCACGCTTCCCATGTTCTGCATTGGTCACTGGGGTGGTGGGGATGGGATCCCCGAGGCTCAGCATCCCACCCCTCTCCTTTCCCCCTGCAGATATGAAGACGAAATCAACAAGCGCACGGCTGCGGAGAACGAGTTTGTGGTGCTCAAGAAGGTGGGTCACGCTAGGGACAATGCTGGTGAGACCAGCTGAGAGTGGTGGGCACGTGGGCAAAAAAAAAGGGAGAGAAACGGGGTGTCCTGGCACCATGACACTGCCTGAGTCCTCATTGGGTAGCCCCAAAATACAGGCAACCCAATGAATGTGGAGAACCCCTATCACAATGCAAACCCAGAGAGTCTTGAGGTCTGGAAACAGTGAGGTTCTCTCCAAATCTATCAGAAAGCATGAGCTTTGCCACCGCCCTGCTCCTTCACTGCTTTTCACCGAATACGTGGTGTCTCTCCAGGATGTGGACTGTCTCTACCTGACCAAGGAGGAGCTGGAGGTGAGAGTGGGCCTCCTGCGGCAGCAGCTGGAATTCCTGAAGTGCATCTACGCCGAGGTAAGAGCTCCCTGTTCCCTGTCTGCTGCCCCGGGGATGATGCATCATCTGCTGCACCCCTGAGCCCTTACCCCAAAATTAAATGCAGGGAAAGGATTTTTTGAAAATCCTGAAATCACATTCCAAGAATCTATATATTTTTACATGCATTTGACAGCAACACTAGTTCACACACTTTGGAAAGGCAAAGGGTGTTCATGTCTGTCTCCCACCTCCCTGTCTGCAAAGGGAGGGATTTTTGCATGGAAAAACCCCTCAAATTCTCATCTGAACCATTCCTGGGAACCACCGAAATGTCTCACTCTTCAAAACCCCAATGTTTTCAGCACTTCACTTTTTAAGCTATATTAGTAAAAATATTTTGGTGAAAGTATCACTTTTGCCTAAATGTTGCAAGTTTTTAACAAAACACACAGGGACACACTGTATGTGCACCTTTTCTAGCCAAACACCTCCCAGCAGTCTGCAGGCAATGGGGCCCAAACCACTCACCCCGAGGGATTCACAGCTCAGAAAACTGCTGACCAGCCAGAAACGACGAGTTGCAACGAAGCGAGTTGCTCCACTGGGATTCCCCACCCTTTGTTAGGGAATTGCACGCATCAGTCCCATACTGTAGCACCAAAACAGGCCCCTGCTGCCAGCACCTGCTGGAAACCAGTCACCCACCTGAAGAACCCCATGATTTAGTTGGGTGTCAATGGGAGAACTGCCCCAACCCTCCACCTTCTCACCAGACCCCCCCTTTGCCGAGTACCGGCATGACTGGCTTGGGCTGGTTGAGGGAAGGGGACTGATGTGTGACGGATCTTGCAGGAGAGAGCTCAGCTGGATTGCCAGCTGTGTGACACCTCTGTCATCGTGCAAATGGACAACAGCCGGGACCTGGACATGGAGGGCATCATCAAAAGCGTTGAGTGCTGCTACGAGGAGATTGCCCAGAAGAGCAAGGCTGAAGTGGAAGCCTTCTACCAAACCAGAGTGAGTATTCACACCACCAGCACAGGCGGCAGCAAAATCCCTTGGCCAACAAACTCTTGAGGACCATTTCTGTCCCCCATGAGACAACACACTGTCCACTCCCACCCTAACCCCCGCCCCAGTGTGCATGCACTGTAGTTTGCAAAAGAAAGTCACGCCAACAAAGAAACCCAACCTTTATACTGTGGTTTAAGACTTTTCTGTGAGAACAGAGCCCAGCAGATCAGAGTGTTGCTTCAGAGAGGTCCCTGTGCACCCCCAACAGGAACACCATCCCCTTCCCAACGGGCAAATGCTCAGTACCTACTTGGGACTCTCACCTTGTCTGGGCTGAGGTCATGTCTGGGTGCTTCCCCAGGAACACTGACGTCAGTGCGGCTCCAGCAAGTCGCCACCTTCCCTGCAAGGGGCAATTGGGGAGTTAACATCATGCTCTTCCCGCACAGCTGGAGGAGCTCCACAGCAGCAGGGGCAAGTTCTGCGATGACCTGAGAAACAACCAGAGCGAGATCGCCGAGCTGAACCGGATGATCCAGAAGCTGCAGTGCGAGTCGGATAACGTGAAGAAACAGGTAGGATGAAGGGCAGTGGGTGCAACTTCTCCAGCAAAGGGCTTTGTCCTCACCAGCTCCCACCCTGCTGAGCAGCAAAGAATTCCCCCACCCCCCAGCTTAAGCCTCTATTTGTAGCTTCTCATCTGCTGCTGATATGCAAAGAAGCAGATTTATTTCTCACTTAGCAAATAAGCAGAAGTCATAACACAAACAGCGTTTGCTGTATGCTTCCTATCTGCCTGGGTGCAGGCAACAGGTCCCCTCCTCTTCATCCTAAACAGCTTGGCCATTGCACGTGTCCAGCCTAAATCCAGGCGCTCTGGCAGTTCTTAGCTGACAAACAAGCGGGATATGAGCAACGCTGGGGAGAGGCCTCTCAATATCACCACTGACCACCTTCTTGCCCGTTACTGCCCTCAGATCGCTGCTCTGCAGACGGCCATCTGTGACGCTGAGCAGCGGGGCGACTGCGCCCTCAAAGATGCCCGGCAGAAGCTGATTGACCTGCAGACCGCACTGCAGCAAGCCAAGGACAAGATGGCATGTTTGCTGAGAGACTACCAGGAGCTGTTGAATGTCAAGCTGGCGCTGGACATCGAGATTGCCACTTACAGGACACTGCTGGAAGGAGAAGAGAGCAGGTAGGAGCATCCCTGGCTGCATCTTGTAACGATGTCTGCGAAACCCAACAGGAGGAGAGAGAGGCAGAGAGAAATGCTGGGTGCAGGCAGCTCCTCATGGGAGCAGAGGGAAGAATCACTCCTTTTCCCTTCCCATCATGGTGCAGAGGGGACCATCACCCCTTTTCCCTCCCAATGGGTACAGAGTGCAGCATCACCCCTTTTCTCTCCCCATGGTGCAGAGGGGAGCATGCTCCTGTTTCCTCCTCATCCTCCCAGGGCACCAGGGTCACAGCATACCAAGCATGCTGCACACATCCCCTGCTTGCCATACAAAAAGAGGATGGGATATTATATCCATGGGATTTGGGGACCCAACCTCACAGTGTTTCAGTGGTCAGTTTGGACCAGCACCTCACACCCGGGTGCACAGAAAAGCAGAAGTACCTGCAGGGTTTTTAAGGATGTGATGGCTGGGAAGCACCTCTATTTGCTTGTGTATTTGAGGAATATTTCCCTAAATACATCTTTGAGACATTTCTTTTCTTCACAGGATATGTACCGGCAACCCTGTGAGTGTAGGTAAGCTAATGAAGCATTCCCTTAATTTCCTTACAAGTCTTTTAAGCTTATAAGTTTCCTTATAAGCTGGGTTTTAACTGCTCTGGGAGTGACTGAGCCTGTTTTCCCCCCACAGCTGTGGTCAGCGGTGGTGGCACTGTCGGGGAGTGCCGATCCCTATCTGGAATCGGAGGCAAATGCGCCGTCAAGACAGGAGGGGCTGGTGCGGGGTTAGGGGTGGTCTCCTCCTTCGGCATCGGTGGTCCTGGCTTTAGCACCCGCAGTGTAGACTGCCTCCCCAGGGTGGGAGGCGGATTTGGGGCGAGGAGCGCGGTCAGCTGTGTGGGGCGAGAAGTCATCTCGGGTGCGGAGGGGGTGCAGTGTGCCACCGGCGTGGGCAACCTGGGGAACGTCATGTGTGCTGGCGTGGAGCAGTGCAGCCCAGGAGCCGTCATCATTCCTGGGGCAGGGGTCTGCAGCACTGGGAGCCGGTACAGCACAGCTGTGCGTGTGGTCAGAACAACCCGGTAGAGACCGGGGGGCAATGATATATCATATTTTAAAATAATCAGCATTTCTGCAATAAAACAGTATTCCCCTTCCTTCTGACAGCTGTAGGGATCACACAACCATGCGCTGCCCATGCCCACACTATTAGACTAGTCGCTCTGCCACAAACTCCTTGCATGATCAAAACCCACCTTCTCTTGTATGTCCTTGGGAAACTTACCCCCACGGTTTCAGCCAGGTGAGATTTTTCATTTCAGACAGTCCATACCTGTCTCACACATCATCCTGGCTTTTAAATCAGTCCTCTCCGCTTGACCCCTTTTCAGCAGGGATTTTCTTGCCCTAACGCAGCTATTGCAAAAGGATGAAAAATTTGGTCATCCCAACTTGAGAAAGAGAAACCACATTTTAATTGTCCGAGATGAAGCTGCAGCTATTATTTAACTTCTTTAATGACACCAGAAAATCCAATTTTTCCTGTTTACAAGAGGGTTGGTAATGCTTATGTAAATCGGTCCAAGTTGCTACACCAGGTTTGGTAGAGCAGATTTTAATTACACACCAACGAGCACCTTATATTTCTGTAGTTAAATGCATGCGTTGTTTTTCCTTTGTGTGTACCAGATAGACAGATTTAATGCTTTTAATGTGTAAGTGAACAGAGTTGATTATCCTTCGCTTACTCCAAACTTTCAGCTGTACCTTCAATAAACTACATGCATAATTCATGCTTTGCTTCATGGGTTTTATTCACCTCCCTGATGTAACAAAAGCACTGATATTTTCCTAAACACGAATCTCCAAATGGGTGGGGTTGGTTGCTCACAAGAAGTGGAGTTTTAACAAAGATTTTTTGAGACTTCACCTGCTCTCCTTCCTGATGCACTTTGCATACCTTTATTCCATCCAGAGATTAATGTGGCCACAAGGAAGTCTGGAAACGCAGTGGAAAGCAGGATATTTAAGCGCTCACGGGATGTGCGGCTCACATGGGATCTCTCCCACTGTCTGGGATCTCTGGAGGCAGAACAAAAAAGCAGCCAGGCCCTTGTTTAAAGAAATCAGTGAGAACCAGCTAAGGTAGTAACAAAAATGAAATACTCCCACCCCCAAAAGCCTCTCACAAGAGGATCACTTTAAGAGAAAGAAGAGAAAAGCATGTCTTCCCAAAATGTAGCATCAGGGCCTTTCTTCCTCAAGTGCCTCATTAACACACGTGAACTTACAGGAAGAGCAGAGTCTGTAGGATGGACCTGGATGTCTCATCCCCAACACCCCCCTCTCCACCCCCAACACCCTTGCAGGGAAGGGAAAACCCTCTCCCCTCATTTTAGGAGACTGGGATTTAGGTGAGATCGTCACCCCATCCCTTTTCTCTATGAGGTCCCCAGGTTCCCAGGGCTGGTGTCCCACTGGAAGGTCTCCATGAGATGGCTGGGAAGGGCTTGCCACAGTTGCACTCACCACAGCTGGGTGCACAGCTGGATGCCGGAAAAACCAGCCGGCCCTGCCAGCTTCTTCCCTCCCACAGCTTGCCTGGGCGCAGCCAAAAGCCCCTGAGAAAACTTCCCTCTGAATTGCCCTTTGGAGAAACCTGTCTCCTCACCCAGCCTGGAAGCAGCATAGGGTGTGGGCAGGTTAATTTACCCCATGAAAGGGACACCAAGGACTGGGTGCTGTAATTTATTCCCCGACATCTCATTCTGCTTCCTAGACTTCACTGCTGACTCACGCTTTGCCTGCCTCAACCTCTCCACGGATGGGGGATGAGCTCAACCCTCCTGCCTGGCTCAGGCTGCCCATGCCAGCGTGACGGTGATGAACCCACCACCCTTCCTGCCAGCTGAGCATCTGCCTCTGCTTCTCTCCCAGCGCCGAGGCTGTGCCGAGCACGGTGGATTCAGGCTCCCCACGTCTGCAGCGTTTCTCTGATGGAAAACAAGATGGTTTATTGGATGGGCTCAGTGGGTAGCAGATCACTAAGTTTTGTTTAATGTCATGCCTTAGCAACACCGTCTGGGCCGGGGGTGTGTGTGGTGAAAGCCAAATGGATCAGCCCTTGCTGAGAAGGAAAAACCCACCCACCTAAAGAGGATGTATTTCTAAATGGTTATCTTCATCTTTTCTGTCTCAATGCATACGACTCGGACTTCATCTCATTTGTATGTAAATAACAAGCAGAAACACCCAAACAAGAAGCTTCCAGTGCCCCAAACAGCTCATAACTTATGTTGATCACCTCCCTGCATGCACTCCCCAGGGTACCGAAGCAGCCCAGTAGCTCTTGCATTCCTGGGAGAATACCTTTCATCATCCCTGCCCTCCTCAATCCCCAAGTATTGCAAACCACATATTTTTTTCTGTCTTCTTGAAGATGTTCATGTAGAACATACCGTCTTGGAGAGAACCAAGGTGAGAGGCATGTTTTTTGGGCAGTTTGGAGGCCAAATCTTGCTCAGCGTCACTCTGGACTTGCCCCTTGGTAGAGTGACAGAGTCTAGCAGAGTTGACCCAAGCTGACAGATGCAAAAAGCCACGTCTCCTCTGTGTAAGGATCCCACAGACCTCAGCTCCTCCACACAATAAACCAGCCCGGTAAAGGAATGGTACATTTTTCACCCAGCCTCTGCATTGCTTGCATACCTCGTGGACAGTGGGCTGAAGTAAGAAGAACTGGAGAGCCTAAAATGATAATTCCCTCTTTCTCATTGGCAGCCCCACCTTTAATCCCATTATAGTCATTGAGCTCTAATATCTTATCCAAACCTGTTTGTCAGCTTCAGGTCAATCTGCCTTCACTGGGGTCAAGAAAGCTTGAACACAACCTCATTTTCCCATCGCACCCGGGCTTTGAATTTTATGCAAACAACCAAGGCAATAGATGTTCATGAATTTCAAGTGACATCCCAAGCAGACTCAGACCACCATTTTCCATAGGGAAGCAAGCCAACCTGTACCAAGAGGGAATTTTGTACTGCAAGGGGAAAGTCTATCTGAGTGACCCAAGTCTATTTGAGTGACTCTCCCGGTTTGAGCCTGCCTGGCAGCATTTCTCCAAGGATAATCAGATATTTGGTCTTCTGTATTTGGTAGAACATGAAGCACCTGCTTAATTTTTCTTCCAGAGATGCCAGTGGGATTTGAAGTCGTACTTAATGGTTTTGTATCACCGGGGCACATGAATGCATTTTGAAGGGCATGCAGAGTCCTGTCCTGCAAATATGTTAAGTTCCAGTCATGCGCATGGCACGGGCAATGCCAGCAGGACAACAACACGCTCAATAGGAACTGAGCTCTTATATATGAAGAATAAAATACTCTAAACATCACAGTTCCACAAAGCCTGAGATGCCAGAAAACGTCACCACACCCTACTGAGTTTGCTCTTTTTCCCAAGGACTCCAGGAATTTCAACAAGGAGAATCTGTGGGAGTATTTTTCATGCTGGTTAAATCTTTGCTTTTGGCAACATTTTGAATGGAAAGGTTCAAATGTCTTTAAAAGGAATCACAGCCATAAAGAGCTAGAAACTCAAGACTGATTGCATCTAAATGATAACATGCAAATAATACCATTCCACAAACTGTTTTGCAGAAAATCTGCATCTTTCATTGAAATGCTTTTTAGCTGAAGATGAAAATGCATCGATCACATCATCAGCTGGCTGGCAACATTGCAGTGGCAACCTCTGCGTGGAATGGAGTTGTCCTCTGGAAATGCCAATATCTCTAGAAAAGAAGCCTAGAAAACCTGCCACAGACTAGATACTAGATACTAAATGGCCAACTGCTGAGGGGACACTTAAATAATACTTGTCACAAAGGAAAATCATGAATCAGAACCTCTTTGCTCACAAAGATGGTCTTTGCCTAACTAGTGTGAAAAGGCAGATGGGATAAATTAGAGCCTGAAAGAGATGTCAGGCTTCATGAACATCACACCTGCACTTTGCCTTCAGGTGAAGAAGCCCCATGAAATATTCTTGTTCAGATTTAGCCATTTTATTCTCACTGCCTTTCACTCAAGTTAATTCAGAGAACTCTCCACTAAGCTCTGTACTGATCTACTGAACCTTTGAGTAGCATAGGAGTATCCAGGTAGCTATTTCTCTTTTTTTACCCTTTAAATTTTTTTTTTTTTCTGCTTTGCAGCTTGGAAATAAAACAATACATCTCTGCAAGCATACAGTGTCTTTACACTAAGGTTGAGCTCTCCCTGCCAAAAATCAGGGAGTTAGATAACTTTTCTAGCTGAGCGGATTCGCATCGGCCCCAATAGGCGTGTTGGAGTGCAATCAGCGTTTAACGAGTTTCAATCAGACAGCTGGCTGCCTGGCACGTCAAAACCATGAAGGCACTAAATTGATCACTGGACTTCCATGCAACCAAGCCCAGATCCCCAGCGGGATAAAAAGGGCATCCTGCACTCCCGCACAGAGCTGCACTCTCAGTTTGCTGCTTCTTGCCGGTGCCAGGCTGTTGCATCCTGCTGCAATGAACCGGCAAACTCACATCATGAGAGGGGGAGGTGGAGCAAGATCTTACAGCACTGCTTCAGCTATTACTACAAGCAGCAACAGGGCTGGCTTTAGTTCGATGTCTGTGGCACGATCTGGAGGAGGTGGAGGGGGTTTTGGAAGGCTCATTGGAGGAGGTAGTGGTGGCGGTTTTGGCAGCAGGAGTCTCTACAACCTTGGTGGTAGCAAGAGGATATCCGTTGGTGTTGGAAGCAGCTTCCGAACTGCTTTTGGGAGCGGAGCTGGTGGTGGCGGTGGTGGTGGTGGAGCTGGTGGTGGATTTGGTCTCAGTGGTGGTGGATATGGCTTTGGTGGAGGTGCTGGTGGGCTTGGCTTTGGTGTTGGACAGGGAGGGGGTGGAGGATTTGGCTTTGGCGGAGTAGGGGGGCTGGGAGGATTCAGTGGAGGGCTGGGTGGTAGGAACTCAGTGGGATTTGGTAGTTGCCCACCCGGAGTGGGTACAATCCAAGAAGTGACTGTCAACCAGAGTCTCCTCGCACCACTAAACCTGGAGATAGATCCAAACATCCATCAGGTGCGAAAAGATGAGAAGGAACAAATCAAGACCCTCAACAACAAGTTTGCGTCTTTCATCGACAAGGTGAGACTTTGTCAAACGCTGTGGAATTGTGATAGAGAGGGAGCCAGTCAGTCTTGTAACTACAAAAATACAACTTCATAGCTACAGACTATTGCATATTTCCTATCTTCATGTCTTCATTAAAGTAATGATAAAAAAGCATTCTTCTAAACAGTTTCAAGGCAGCAAACTAGACTAGAGACCAGTTAGAAGAGGATTAGATCCAGGTTTTGTGCCTGAGAAATAAGATATATTAGGTCAAATGGAGTAAGCCAGTTTCAGGTCCAGATCTAGCTGCTTATCCCAGAGAGACCTCTCTGTGGGGAATCAGAGCAGACATGTTAGTCCTTATTGCTTCATTGCCTGCAAGATGAAGTCCTTTTTATATTGACTCAACTTAAGTCCTTCCTTGGCTTCTACTTGGGTAAATATGTAGTATATATGAGCAAAAGAAAAGGCAATTAAGTATTTGTCTTTTAACCTGTAGTACTCAGATCTTAGCTTTAATGAAGGAAGATAAATATCTCTTACAAAGGAAGAAAAACCAAAGGGTGTTAAAGAAAGCAAGTGATGAAGGAGCTGAACCTACATTTTCTAATGATTTCTCATTGGCTTGCTAAATTAAATTGTCTCGAAAGAGAACTGTCTACTGAGGGCAGATTTCCTTAGATACCGGATGAGCTAACATAACCCCAGATAATCTGGAGGATATTACCAGCTGGATTTAATAGTCTTGGTTTGGGATTTCCTTGGTTTGTGCTATGCAGCAGTCCCAGTTACCGATTATTGGCCATCAGGATGCTCATGGATATCTTCTACTAAGCCTCTTCTGCTTCCCAATGCTCAGGTTCGCTTCCTGGAGCAGCAGAACAAGGTGCTTGAGACCAAATGGACCCTACTGCAGGACCAGGGTCAGAAAAACAACTCAGGCAAAAACAACCTGGAGCCGCTCTTTGAGGCTTACATCAACAACTTGAAACGGCAGTTGGCCAACCTGCTCAACGAGCGAGGACGCATGGACGGGGAGCTGAAGAACATGCAAGACCTCGTTGAGGATTTCAAGAACAAGTGAGTGCCTGTTAGCAGCACATTCAGGCACCCTGGGGTGAAACCGCATGCAAATGGTTCAGCTTAGCATTAGGCAGTAGGATGAATCTCACTTAAATTTAGCTTTCTGAAAGTCAAACATGTGGCCTGAGATATTCATCAAGCTGTCTACAGGAAAGGGGAAAAAAACATATCACCAATCTGTGCACTAGCCTGTAATATAGCACCTAGCTAATGTCTGATATACCCCTCCTCTGTGGTATCTCCCCTGCAGAACCCCTGTCCATCTGGTCCATAAACAATTTTCCAATCAGAAAATGCAGATTCAGCCAGGACACAACAACTTGTGATGACACTTGCAAAGGAAAATCATCTAAACCAACCTGACCCTCCTTGTTCCATCTGCCTTATGCCAAAACATCATTTCAACCCTTTGATAAATGGGATTCTCACAAATCTGAGCTGGGCAGTTTCCAGGAGGTTGATTTGGAAATACTGTACCCAGCCCAGATAACCTTGCAGTCCTACCTGCACAGCTTTTCTGCTCACCGAGGTACGATCCAGCACATCTTTCCCTCTATCCCTGTAGATACGAAGAAGAAATCAACCGACGCACATCAGCAGAGAATGAATTTGTGTTGCTGAAGAAGGTGGGTGAGACAGGGGGTGTTATGGACAATGAACTAGCCCTAACCCTTGCACAGACTGGGAATATCCTAAAGTATGGGAGATCCCATGCAGCTGCATCCTCATCCTTTAAAAACTGTCATTTGGATTATGGTTTTGGGAGAAAGGAATGGAGGGGCTTGGAGGATGGAAGCAAATTCTTTCCCACTCCTGTCCCTCAACATACACACATGCTTTCCTGGGCAAAACAGACCATGTAGAAACAAAGATGGTCAGCAGGGCTGGGAACGCCAGGTACCAAGGCCAAATAGCCTCCACCCCCTCCTTATCCACTAACAAAGTTACATACAGCACTTCTTTTGGCCAAAGGACATCCTTTTGGTGTTCTTCCAGGGGGATGTGCCAATCACAGCTCGCAGTCAGGCAGGACCATTGCAGCGGTGAAAGGAGCAGCCCCAAGTCCCAGCTTGGCCAGCTCTTGGCTGAGCTCCAGAGGAACCAGGTGCCACAAATGTTCCCACGGTTGTTCTTTTCCAGGATGTGGATGCCGCTTACATGAACAAGGTGGAGCTGGAGGCCAAGGTGGACACCCTGACTGATGAACTGAGTTTCCTTCGAGTCCTCTACGAAGCGGTACAGACACCCTCCTCCCTGATTTCTGTCACGCTGTCACCCTTTGGGCAGAGACTGCTGTCATTCATGGCATTTGGAAAGGTAAGTGCAGCTGGCTGGGATCCTGTGTGCTTCCTCGCAGGAGCTGGCTCAGCTCAGCGCACAAGTGTCCGACACCGCCGTCATTCTGTCAATGGACAACAACCGGGACCTGGACCTCAGCAGCATCATAGCTGAAGTCAAAGCTCAGTACGAAGACATCGCTAACAGGAGCCGGGCCGAGGCGGAGGCTTGGTACCAAACCAAGGTGAACAGACACACAGATGCCATGGGGACAATCACTGCTGTCCCTGCGTGAGGTTGTTTGAACTACATCTTGTCCACCTGGACATCTCAGACAGTCTGCTCTTCCTTCTGAACCTCAGTTCGAGGAGCTGCAGGCCACGGCTGGGAAGCACGGCGACGACCTGCGCAACACGAAGGGGGAAATCTCTGAGCTCAACCGGCTGATCCAGAGGATCCGGTCAGAGATAGAGAACACAAGGAACCAGGTAGGAATGGCAAAAGGAGCCTGTGGAGCCCTGTTCTGTGGTCCCTCAGCACCACAGCTCTGCTTTGCTGACTGGGGACTTTAGCAGCCACAGAGTTTGATGCACCTTATTAAATGGGTTGAATTCCCTCCTGAAAAGGGTACCACGCTCTAACACACATTAACTCGATCCTGCCAGGCTGGCATTTCAACTCCAGCAATGTTAGCCATGAGTGAATGACCTCAGTCATTAACTTTTTTCATTAACGCCCCAACCAGAATGGTTTTTTTTCCTTGGGTGACTCCTACCCCAAAAGTAAAGCAGCATTTAGGAGTCCCAATCCTGCCTCTTGCAGTGCGCCACCCTGCAGACAGCCATCGGAGACTCTGAGGAGCGTGGGGAGCTGGCCCTCAAGGATGCCAAGGCCAAGATGATTGACCTGGAAGATGCCTTGCAGAAAGCCAAAGCTGACATGGCTCGGCAGCTCCGCGAGTACCAGGAGCTCATGAACGTCAAACTGGCCCTGGACATCGAGATCGCGACCTACAGGAAGCTGCTGGAGGGGGAGGAGAGCAGGTGGGGGCAGAATTCCTGCAGGAATAATAGTGACTATCACTTGGCCCCTGCCAGCAGTTGGTTCCCCTGCCTGTCTCCTTAATTTTGCTCTAACCTCCTCTTTATCTGCCCCTCCCCCACAGGCTGAGTGGAGAGGGACTCAACCCCATCAGCTACTGTAAGTATCACAGTTTGCCTTCCTGTGGGCCCACTGGGAGCACAGGCTGTGAGCAACCTTGGGAAAAGGGAGGGTTTGCCCAATCTAAGATGTTCAGAGCCCTCCAGCAGCATTGCATGGGGGACAGAAGTTGGGTTCAAGTCCTGTGGGTCAAGGTCCTGCTGATGCTGCTTTCTGGAACTGAGTGACTGCCCAGCAGATGTCCAATCCTCTGGTTGTCTTTTCTTGCAGCCGTCATCAGCTCCAGCTCCAGCATGGCTGGTGGAGCTGGGTTAGGAGGAGGATTTGGTGGACTGAGCCTAAGTGGAGGAGGCGTTGGGAGCGGTTTAAGCCTTGGAGGTGGCGGTGGAGGCAGTTTTGGTCTTGGAGGAGGTGGTGGAAGCGGATTCAGTCTCGGTGGAGGCGGCGGTGGTGGAGGCTACAGCTTTGGAAGCGGAGGAGGACTTGGACTCGGGGGTGGTGGTGGTCTCGGAGGTGGATTTGGAGGAGGCAGTGGTCTTGTCTATGGAGGAGGTGGCAGCAGCAGTCTGAGCACCAGTGGAGGGAATTTCAGCTCTGGAAGCACAAAAGGCACCAACCCAGGTGTGAAAATTGTCTCCAAAACCTCTTCCAGCAAAAAGAGCATAAAAAGCCAAAGCCTGAAGAATGCTACACAGCCCGAGTAAAACCAGCACCAGACCCTCCCCAAAACCATTGCTCCTTCATCGCTTCTGCATTACTACCATATCGCTCCTGCACCCCACCATCACCCCTGCTCACCTCTGTCCCAGCTCTTCACACTGTAGTTCTTACGCATTTGGATCACAGTTCAAGAAAAGCAGCGGAGCGTGTGTTAACCAGATCTCTCAAAGTGCCTGAAACAGGATTAAAAGGAAATCACAGACCTAAGTGATTTTTAAATGGTGAATTGGTTTTTTTTTTTTTGTTTGTTCATCTGCTTTTAATGAGGCTGAGCAGCTTGTGGCTAGCTGACAGCCATCAGCTAAGACAGATCAAATAGCAGTGAAGATGCAATAACTTGGGTTTTTAGCTCAGTTCTGGCCCACAGAAGCCCAGGGATGGGCTGGGAACCTGGCTTCAGTTCACTGCTTTGCCTTCATTGCTGAGATGAACCAAACTCACTCCTTCAAGTTAAGCAACTCATCATTATCAGAGATGTGGGTTATTTTTCTGCTATGTAGAAATACCCCAGGAGGTTGCTGGAAGATCCCAGGCAGTGGTTTTGCAAGTGTTGGGTCCTTCTTAAAATATCCCTTATTATGGAAGCCCAGAGCCCATTAGGAGTCACCTCTGAGTCACCTGAGTGCAATGGAAAATCCCTCTTTTCCCCATCCACAGCTGAGCTTTGACAAACATGATTCTTCCAGCATTCCAGCATTGCAGCCATGTGAAGTCAGGCACAGCAGCCTGGCCAGTGGTTCAGAGCGTAATATGAGGAAAGCAGTCTGAGATACCTCCATCTGAAAAGCACCACTCACAGGGATGCAGATTCAATGCAAACGAGCTTATCTAAAAGGAAGCCCAAACTACACTCCCATTCCTGTCCTTTCTCTTCTTAAATGAAAGTTTGCGCATAGTGGCACCTTACACATAATCTTGTGGGTGGTATTTTGTCAGAGGAGCCATCAGTGACTGATCCAAAGTGTATGGAAAAGGGCTTGTTTCCTTAATTAAAGGATTTTTTAATTCTAAATAATAACTGAGGCAGTGTTCTTCAAAAGCAAGATCGGTGTTTGCAGTTAAATTGGGTTGCTGTCCTGTCTCATGCTAGGTTTTGTTGGAATGGCTTAAAAAAATGCCAAAATCATCCAACAATCCAAGTCTCACTGACTTTCCCCACCATCTCGGTATCAGCAGTCAGTGAACGTTTAAGACAATGAAAAGTACACTGGAAAAACCGTGTGAAGGGCCATGTCCACACTGCTCCTGGGGGTATTTCAGCATCTCCACTATGTGTGGGGTTCTCTGATGAAAGACAGACATTTGGTAAACTGAAAAGTGCAGTGAGGTCTTAGCCCAGCACATGGGAAACGAGGCAAGCGGGAGCAGGAGCTCAAAGGCAGGCCAGTGCCCCAAACCAACTTTCCCATTTCTGACAGAATTCACACCTCTAGCTTCCCACCATGTCTTTATTTTTGTGAAAGTATGATTAAAAAAAAGAAAATTGCAGCTTTTTATACTTCAGTGATAGTGATATGACATTGTGTTTTCCTTCCTCTCTTTTTGGAACATGTCCAATAAAACTGGATTGTAATTTATTTGTTCCTACATCTTTTTATTCTAAACAGAGCCAGTAGCCTGAAATATTCCCAGCCTCCAGCAGAGTGAGCAGAAGGGGGCTTTTGCTTTACTCCGGGGGAAAAGCTTCAATATTCTGGTAAAATTATGATGCAAACCTTGAAATCTGTTGTCTCAAAACAAATTGAAGAATTAGAAAAAAAAGGAGGAGGAGGGCGGAGGCTTATCCATTAAATGTCAAAGAATTTAATCACTGTTAATTTCTTAACATATGATTGGGGTTAATCCAAAAACCTTTCTTCCATGGAAGGGAGGGGTTTTGCACAGCTCTGCTAGCTCAGGCAAAACCCCAGTATTCAATTTTTGCTTTCTTAAAAAGACATAGCAAACCCAAGCACAAACAGGGCTCTGGGGGCGGATTTTATCAGGATGATCTAGACCGAGGATGGGTTTCGGTGAGCTGGAGCAGAGCAACTCACCAACCAACACAGGTATTTTGGTCAGCTGTTGTTGCAAAAGGAGAATAAAAAAGAAAATACGGGAGAAAAAACACCTCAGACAAACACTCAGACCTTATTGCATTTCAAAGAGTCAGACGCTTTGCTCTTCCCTGACCTCTCAACATCCCGGCTTTACATAATTCAGCAGAAGGTAAAGAGCAAGCAAGTACACGCCAGCCCAGGAGGGTAAAGGAGACGCTCACAACCGCTTCAGCAAAACCTGAGTGAAACCCAGATGCACCCAAACACGGAGCATCCCATCTCCCTACACCCAGAGCGATGAAAGCAGCTGCAGCAAGACAGAGCAAAGTCCGGGGACAAAACCCAACTCCTCAGTCCCTGCTGTTGCAGACGGGTCAGAAATGAGTGAAGGTTAAAAATAAACTCTGAGTCACCTCGATTAGTTACACAGCACGAGTGTGAGGAATTAATACAGCTAATGGCAACCTAACCTTAACTAACCTTAAAAGTTCTGAACGTCTGTCTTCCAGCTTGTGCTGAAAAATTGCCAATAACAGACTCCAAAGGTGGTGCCCAAGGGCAGCTGAGCTCCTGCAAACATCTCAGCTGTCCCTGTTCCTCCTCCCCTTGCTCTGCATCCCCACCCCAGCAGTGCCCTCACCCTCCAGGCCACCCCTCTGTAGCAAATCCTACCCCCCACACTGATCTCTGCAGGCAACCTTCCCATCCGAGGGGGCAAACACAGCCCACCTGCAGCTCAGAGCAGCTTCAGGAAATCCCTGCGCGTGGGCAACACAAGCCAAGCAAGGAAACCGCAGCACTGAGAGATTCTGCAAGAATTGCCCATGTTTTGGTGCCTGAACCAAATTTGCTTTACTCTTCCAAATGTAATATTCCATGTAATTACTGTTGTCTGCAGCAACAAGCTTTCCTAGAAGAGCCGGGGAGGTAATGATTGCCTTCAACATGAATCCTTTCTCTTTGCTTTAATTAAAACGTTTGTAGCCTGTGCTCTGGTTCCCAGGTGTGACTTTGCATAGCTCTCTGGAAGTCGAAGGCAGGCTCCCTCCCTGGCCCCTGTCCACAGGATCCGGCACACATGTGCCAATTCCCACAGCAGGCCCAGGAAAGCTCATCTCCTACATCTGCCATGCCTGTAACGGAGTTTTCAGTATCAGCATCACCCCGCTGGTGTTACTGTTGAGGTTCCCGCTGCTGTGCGTCCCCCGTGAAATGGGGGTTCAGTGCTTCCGGACGTGGGTTCAGTTTTCCCTGCGCAATCCTGCGTTCCTCGCACCCATGAGTTCCCACATCTTCACTCCCGAGGTGAGAGCACCCCCTTGCTACCGCCCAGCCGTCTCCCTTTGAGCGGGAGGGTGCCAACAGCCCGTCCAAAAATCGGCTCCCCGGCAGCTCGCCCCATGGCGCTGCGGTGCCGTGACTCACGCGGTTGGCAACAGGCAGCGATGGGAGGACTCAGGAGGTGATGGCTGCGAGTGCTGGCTTTTTCTGATTGCAATGAGGAAAAAAAAAACCCAATACAAAACAAAAAACCCTTCTACTCAGGTTCTTTCAAGTTCCCAGACAGAGAAAATGGCAGTTGGAAACACATCAACAGAGACAAGCCATGAGCTGCAGCAGATACCCTTAAGCTGCTCATTTTGGATTAAGCTCCTGTTCTTATGGCTCACATAACCAATTTCAAGAATCTTTGTGATTTAGCCTGCACGGGGTTTCATCTCTCTGCCTTGCGCTGTTATTTCATCTGACATTAACCTGGAGAGGTGGGCAGCCCTGGCAGCACAGGGATGTGACTGGGCGGAGTCCAGTTTCCAGAAGTATTTTGGGTGGGGGGGAGGAGATACCTTCCCTTGTAACCTGTGTCCAGCTCTTCATGGACACAAGTGAAGAGGTCGCCGGCTCCCCTGCCTCTACACCCTCCTAAGGCACAGCCCAGGCTCACCAAGGGGGTTGAAGTTCCCAGGAGAGGGTTCACCCACGAGCCCAAGATCAAGGGGCCACGGCTGTTTTAGAAAAATCTTTCTCAGGAGCTGAATGACCTCAGCAGAGCGAAGGAGGGGGTGGGAGAGCACTGGAAGAAAAGGTGGGTGAATTCCCCTTCGCAGAACGTCTTGAAGAGCCAGCAATGATGTGGAAACTGGTGGTTAAATACAGGGGGGTGGAAAAAAAGTGATAAAATACCACTTCACAGGGAGCTTTTGAACCCTGAGGCCGACAAGGAGATTCAAAAGAAGAGCAATCATTTCAGGCATATTTTTAATAACTATTTTATAAGTCTCGTAGTACTATTTAATCTAATTTGCAGTTATTTTGGAAAAGTGATTTACTTGCTGCCTTTGAAAGCCATGCTACCTATTTCTCACTTTCCCCTGCAATAAGGGGAGACAATTTTTTAGTAAGATCCCAGAAAACACTACCATGAGACAACTTCAACTCAGCTCTTCTCTGCAAGCCTGTGATCATTCCGATCCCTCTTCTGAAAGAAATCAAAATATAAGTAAAACCACCACCAGCCCCAGCTTTCCCAAGCCAATAAGAGGACACACACATCCAGTCCCAGTGCCATCAGCCTCAGAAAATTCCCTATTTATGCTGCCTGTTTGCTGTGCAATATGTTAAACTCTAAACTTCACCTGGCAAAAGCTTCAGCACAAGGCGCCTTGCTCAAAACGGCGAGCCCTTGGCTCCCTTAAGGAAAACTGGCTCCCAGGGTCTCAGAAGAATCGTGTTGCATCCTGCTCCCGAGCGCAGACCTGAGTCGTCCCATTCAATTCTGATTTCATGACTCAGAGCAGCAGCCTTTGGTAGAGGGGGGAGCTCACTCACTCCGTTACTTTCTTGCCTGCAAACAATGCATTTTTCAGCGCCTCGCTGTAGCCTAGGTGTGTTTGACAAGGCAAGTTGCTGCAAGGCACGTCAAGTTCTGAATTCCCGTGCCAAGTTTTCCAAGCAGATAAAAGAGGAGGCTCCCAAGCTCTCCCATCACACGGGTTTCTGTCTCCATTGCCCTCTGTTCTTTTTTTTTTGCTGCGCAGCTTTTATTCACCAGCCGCCGCTTTTTTTTTTCCCCTCTCCTGCTCTTTCCATTACCAATTGAACAAGCCACCATGAGTCGGATCTCTTTCAGATCATCTACTGGAGGGAACATGAGGGGCTTTAGCTCAGGCTCTGCTATCGTAGGAGGTGGCGGTGGTACCAGAAGCAGTTTTAGCTCCGTCTCTGTCTCCAGAGTTGGAGGAGGAAGAGCCGGAGGTGGAGGAGGCTTCGGAGCTGGTGGTGGCTTCGGCAGCAGAAGTCTCTATAACCTAGGTGGAAGCAAAAGAGTTTCCTACAGCTCAGTTGGTGGTCTACGGAGTGGAGCTGGTGGTGGATACGGCTTTGGTGGAGGAGCTGGCTTTAGTGTTGGCTGTGGTGGTGGAGCAGGCACAGGTTTTGGCTTAGGAGGAGCTGGTGGTGGTGGCTATGGGCTGGGCAGTGGATTTGGGCTGGGAGGTCCCGGATTTGGTGGTCGAGGTGGCCCCGCGTTCCCTGTTTACCCACCCGGTGGCATCCATGAAGTGACCGTCAACCAGAGCCTCCTGGCACCCCTCAAGCTGGATATCGACCCAGAAATCCAGAAGGTGCGAACACAGGAGAGGGAGCAGATCAAGACCCTCAACAACAAATTCGCCTCCTTCATTGACAAGGTGAGAGTTTGATCTTAAACATCACCCCATGCATATTTTCAGTTGCCTCAAGGAAAGAACAACAGGAAGAAACTTCCTTTGGATTTAGGGGCTTGCCTGAACTAATCCTAGCCGACACACAGCGTGGGTTTGGCTGAAAATTAAGAACTGTCTTATGTTTCCTTTTTGCAAGGATGAGTTTTTTGGTGCCTTATCTTATTGAAAAAGTAAATCCCCCTCCTCCCTGTAAAAAAGCATCCCAGGGTCTGGATGGATCTTCTACTGGCTGTAAAATGGCAAAGCTCTACACAACTTAATGGGATAACACCAACTTAAACCAGTAAGCTGGGCTGGGCATCGAGCCAGGGAAGAAACACCCAAAGTTGCAAATACATGTGTTTGGCCTGCTTAATTGCTCTTGAAAAATCTTACTAAACGGCCTAACTGCTTTTGATACTTTCAAGAATCTAGTGCCTTAAATTAGGAAGATCCTAATAATTTCCCCCGTGCTGTCCCAGCGCCTCTTCCCCTTTTCTTTGTGTTGAATGATCTCTCCTTTTCCTGGCAGTGGTGTTTTTTGCGCATTGTTCACCTGGGCTTCCATGTGTGCCTGTTTTCGTTTCCCCAGGTGCGCTTTTTGGAGCAGCAGAACAAAGTGCTGGAGACCAAGTGGAGCCTCCTCCAAGACCAAGGTCACACAGTCACCAGGAAGTCCCTTGAGCCCCTTTTCGAAGCCTACATCAACAACCTCAGACGGCAGCTGGACAACCTGATAGGAGAGAGGGGGAGGCTGGACTCTGAGCTGAGGAACATGCAAGACATGGTGGAAGACTTTAAGAACAAGTAAGAAATCGTGCTCTGTAGTGTAGATCATTAACAGACGGGAAAATCAGGGCAGGTGGTTCATGCTCGCTGGTGCACACCTTGTGTTTGCACTGGGTTCCTCTTCCAGTTTGCAAAATGAACCAAACTCGATCTCAGAATTACCTCTGGTTATGTCAGATTTCTTATGCGCAGGATCAAGCATTTAGGACAGAATTCACACATCCTTGGGAACTGGGGTCATGGTCTGGTCCGTTGAGTCTCCCAAAATAATACTCCTGGTGATAGAAAAACATGTAACTGATGACTATAATAGACATGAAAAAGGGAATGAAACATAGCCACAAACTGTCAGCTCCAAAAATCTCCCATTTCTCTTTTTGCAAAGGAAAACCCAGCCTTTCCAGAGGTGTGAGCTTGCTCTCATTCAGCTCCGAGCACAGGAATGATGCTCAGCTCTTTTCTTTGACCGTTGCCAACGAAATCAATTTCCCTGGGAAGGCAGTTAATCCCATCCTGAGATAAGGTGTCCAGATGAGGTGGGATGACTCATTTTAAGGACATGCCAGTCGGAGTCTGCTGACTAGGGACATTTAGGGGTTTTTTTTAGGTGAGGCTGTTCATTTTTACTTGGCTGAAGTCTGGCGAGAACAACCTCTCTTTTTTTCAATCAGATCTGGCCAAGTGCAAATTTGAGAAAAACACCCTGGAGGCCTGAAATATGTTTATATAGAGTGTTAAGCATGTGAATAGAAAGATTTTTTGAGGGGGGAATAGGAAGGGGAGACAGGACTTAGAGCTGACAGGATGGACTGACTTGAATTAGCTTCGGGTCTGTTGTACTTGGGTGCATTTCAGGTCTTAATATGTATTAAAAGGCTCTTAGAAAAACTGATCAGGACAAAAATGACAAATGTTATTGTCTGTGTTTTGGAGCTACTGCCTGGGACAGAGTATGCATTCTATTTCAAGTCTGGAGGTGGTTCCCAGTCCACTGGCTGATTTCCACTTCTTCCCATCTCCGCTCGGAGATCCATCTGCAGGGATATCTCTGCCAATATTAGTTAGAGGACTGGCACGAACCTGCCTTTAAAATCCAGGTCTTTGCCTCAAGAGCCTACATGTTTTGTCTACTTTCTAGCTAAGCCCTGCCCTGATTATCTGATAGGAGGGTGTTGCTCAAAGCCATAAAAAGTTCCATAGAAGCATAGTCTGAGGCACAATGATGCACAACCCTGGCTAAAGAATCAGAGACTTTTTTTTTAATTAAATGCTGCGGCAGGTTATTCAGAGCCATTAACATTATTATAATATCAAATTGTTACCTTATTATATCTTTGTAGGCATTGCAATGCAGCTTTGTTGAAAGCCTTTTCCATAAATTGCGTTGGGCAAAGGTCACCGAGAATAAGCTGCTCCTGCTTCCTACCGAAATGGGCTCAGATCCCGCACACATTTATGTATAGGCTTGACTTTAAGGGCAGTGATTAGAATCTATTAATTTTAGCTGGGACTACTCACACCATGGAGTCTTTGCAGGTTCAGAATCAGTAATCATTTGCTCCACATCTGCTCTGGACTGTAAACAGGTGGGAGCAAGGAATATATATCTGTGACCAACAACAATGATTTGGGACTGGAGCGGTCCCATCTCTGCTTCCCATGCTGGCTTTCCTCTTTGTTTCCCCCAAAACGCTCTCACTCTTTTACCCTAACAGATATGAAGACGAGATCAACCGGCGCACCGGTGCAGAAAACGAGTTCGTGGTTCTCAAGAAGGTGAGTGAACTGGGAGTTGTGGGATGTACAACGACGTGAACTCAGCATGCACAGTTTGAGTAAAGCTGATGGGAGCTGGGGTCCTCCAACCCCACAGTCAGGTCAGGCGATGGTGACTGCATGTCTAGGACTCAGTGTGGGCTGGGTTCTCTTCAGGCTGTGCGTGGGCATAACCTCCTCCATGCCGGTGGAGCTGCCCTGTTTTCTGAAGGCAGCTGCAACCCAGCGGGCTCAGTTCAACTCTGTCTCGGGTCACATCCCCATGAGTCAGAGCTTTGCCTTCTGCCCAAGAACCTGGTCCTGGCTCACAGAAGATGTCCAGCCTTACATTAAAAAAACCCCACCTCGATCACAGCAATATAGAAACAAGCCTAAAGAATTATAGACTTGTAAGCAGAGAGATGGTCCTGCTGGTGTCCTGAAGTGCCTTTGGCTCATGGTTTCACCAGAAGTCTTTGGTTTTCTTTTCTTTAGGATGTGGATGGTGCTTATATGAACAAGGTCGAGCTGCAGGCCAAAGCAGATGCGCTGGCAGATGAAATTAACTTCCTGAGAGCTCTCTACGAAGCGGTAAGCAGTCAGCTCTCCCCATGACGGCATCCTCCACAGCTCCCTGCTGTACAGGTCTCCTCGCCTTGGAGCTCCTGCCACTACGCGCAGTGCTGTACAGCAGTGAGAGAAGGTGGTCATGCTCTTTCTGAAATTGTAGTGCACGCACAAGATAGAAAAAGATAAACAGAGCAGGGGAAAATGCAAGAACATGGCTTGGCAGAGGGCTCCCAAGCCACCTCTTGTCTGCATGGTTTCCACTTCAGATCCTAGACCATTAACTCCATTTTTTGCATCTGCTGCAGGAATTGTCCCAGATGCAGCAGCAAGTATCTGACACCTCCGTGGTCCTGTCCATGGACAACAACCGTAACTTGGACCTGAACAGCATCATCGCAGAGGTCAAAGCGCAGTATGAGGACATTGCCAACCGGAGCCGGGCAGAAGCTGAGGCTTGGTACCAAAACAAGGTGGGTAACCAGACTGAGAGGCTGATTTCTGTGATTCCCGTGGCATCACACTAGCTGGGGGGAGGCAGGATGGAAGAAGGATCACAGCATTACAGCGGAGAATCACTTTGTGTGTTGCAATGGGCTGTTGTGTACAGATCCTCATCGTTTGCCTGTGGACTGCTACACTTGATCAGCCTTATATTCCTTGCAGCAAGGGACAGGATGCTTGAATGCCTTGACTGGCCTCATGAGGAGCCAGTGGTAGATCTGGCCTTAGACACAGAGCACTCTAAATAGCGGGTGACAACACATGGGTGCTCTCTACAGTGCAATAGCTGCTGCCTTAGCATGGATATCTACGGGCAAATGCTGTTATTCCACGGGCAGGCTGCTCAGAGGATTGTTGTCCCCCACCTCTTAACCTGCACCCAGATCTGCTCTTTGTGCCCTGAAGTCCCCTCACCCCTCCCTGAGCCCCAAGGTGCCTAACCAGCACTCTCCTCCTTTCTGCACACCAGTACGAGGAACTCCAGGTCTCTGCCGGGCGTCACGGTGATGACCTGCGCAACACCAAGATGGAAATTTCAGAGATCAACCGGATGGTCCAGAGGCTGCGGAACGAGATCGAGAGTGTGAAGAAACAGGTAGGAAGGGATGATCCTGCCGAGCAGCTGCTGCATGGTGGGGGACAGGTGGGAGGTGATGGTGGAAAGAGCCAGCTCCTGGCACTGGAGCAAGGGAGGAAGCCTAGCATTCCAGCCCCGCGTTAAAGAGGGCACGGCCACCTCTGTCTCTGCCCACCAGAGAAGGTCTTGCAGTGCAAGGATGTGTTGTGATAGCTGCTTTTCTCACTGGGGAAGCAAACTGTGAGCTACTAGGCCACCCTAGCAAAGGTGGGTAGCGAAGCAAAGGGATTCAGATGTGTCTCCTTTTCTTGGGGACAGGATTACGGCGGCAGCTCCCCAGTTACCCACTCTATGGCACCTTCCCAACGGCCCATCAGCTCTTTGTGCCATGCTGGGAGCCACCAGACAGTATCTACAATACCATAGCAATACTCAGGACAACAGTTTGGGGTAGCCCAAATTAAAAAAACTACCCATTTCCCTTCCTTTTAGTGTGCCAACCTCCAAGCAGCCATCGCCGAGGCAGAGGAGCGTGGGGAACTGGCCCTCAAAGATGCCAAGGCCAAACTGGCTGAGCTAGAAGATGCTCTGCAGAAAGCCAAGGCTGACCTGGCCCGGCAGCTCCGCGAGTACCAGGAGCTCATGAACGTCAAGCTGGCCCTGGACATCGAGATCGCGACCTACAGGAAGCTGCTGGAGGGGGAGGAGAGCAGGTGAGGACAAGCACACAAACCTGGTGTGTGCTTCTCTTCAGAGCAGGGCGCGTTTCCTTGGGCTCAGAGACAGCTCACCTCAACGGGCTGCAGCACCACGTTGGTGAAGATATAAAAGAGCACCAAGATGTTAAGACAAGAGCAGAGGAGGATACTTTAAATCGTGAGATTTCTAGGAAAAAATTAGTTCCTCCAGCTCTTGGAGCCTGATGCACTACGAAAACCAAGAAATGTCACCTTTCACGTGTGATGCAGGCATACCCACCAGAGGACGGTCCCTGCTGGAGGCTGCCAAAGTCTAATTAGATGGTCCCAGTGGCTAATGTTAATGTCTTGTCTGTGCTTGAGCATCGTTGCTTACTGTCCCCTTTCCCAACAGGCTTGCCGGAGAGGGAGTTGGAGCCGTGAGCGTCTGTAAGTATCTCCCCCCTTCCACCTCTGCTCGCTGCCCTACCCCCCCCCTGCCGCAGTGGGGGTGGTGCGGGTGCCCCCCCCGGGGTAGCCGGCAGGACCCTAAGGCGGGCGTGCGCCGTGTCTCCTTGCAGCCGTGGTCAGCAGCTCCAGCGGCATGGGCTACGGCGGCGGCAGCAGCCTGGGCATGGGCGGAGGTCTCAGCATGGGAG